AGAATGGGGGTTTACGGTGACAAGGAGCGAAAGAGGAAGTGAGAGAAGGAGCGAAAGAGGAAGTGAGAGAAGGAGCGAAAGAGGAAGTGAGAGAGAAGGGGGAGGGCTGGGGTAGCGTGACTCAGTCATACACACACATATGTACACACACACATGTACACACACACACTCATGTACACTCGCACACACACACACACACATATGTACACACACACAGCACAACCTCCCCCCCTCCCCACATACACCGGTGAGCTTCCCAGCCAGGGGGTGGGAGGGAGTGAGAATTATTGAACCGGTTGACCTGAATTGCTCAGGTTTTTGTCCTGGCTGGCGTAAGCAAAGGGGAGACACAGACAGGGAGGGACAGAAATAAATATAATACACACACACACACACACGCATATATATATATATATATACACAGGGAGAGAGAGAGAGAGAAAGAGAGAGAGGGTGGTTGGCAGGTGCTCTGGTGTGGTTTGCTCCTTCTTTTCTATAAAATATCTGTCACCCTTATCTCTCCCCCTTATTCACTTGTGATGTTTGTTACTCTCTGGTAACACCTCTAATCTTCAGCACTTATATATATGACTTTTTTTGTTCTGCAAATGCCGTAAAACTCTTACTAAAACTAGAACAGTCTGTGACACTTTTTGGATGTGAACTATTTGTGTTGCAAGAGCCGTAAAACTGTTTATGGAAATTCAATGTAACTGAACACCTTTTTGTCTGTGGCTCTTGGTGTTATAATATTGTGTGTTTTGGTATTCATTATATATACATATGTGTGTTTAATTATGTATTTAGGTATGTATGCTTCCGTAGTTACTTAAAGTTCCCCCACAGGGTCAATAAAGTGTTATTTATTTATTTATTTGTTCGTTTGTTTGTTTACATTTTTATTTATTTATTTGTTTAAAATTTTATTTATTTTTAAAATAATTTACCTTTTTTTTCTTTCTTTTTTTTTTCTTTTTTCTTTCTTTCTTGCTTCATCTATTCCTTCATGATCATTTATTTATTTATATATATTCATTTTATTTATTTTTAAAAAGACAAAAGACAAACAGAAACCAAAAAGCTTTAATGCCCAAACAAAACTGGTGACTTACCGTGGCTTGTTTTTTCTTTCTGTCACCCCCCCCCCCCTGCAGAGCTTGGGGTTATGTGAGGAAGACATCTTTCTTTCTTTCTTTCATTCTTTCTTTCTTTCTTTCTTTTTTTCTTCAGTGTGATTCATTCATGATCATTTATTTTTTTATACGTATATTATTTTTTAAAAACACAAGAAGAAAACGGGAAAAAACATTCCCTAAACAAAACTATTGACTTACCGTGGGTTTTTTCTTTCTGTCTTCCCCAGAGCTTGGGATTATGTGAGGAAGACATCTTTTTTTCTTTCTTTCTTCAGTTATTCATTCATGATCAGTTATTTACGAAACGCAAAAACAGAAAATGTTCCCTGAACCAAACGTTTCACTTAACGAGGCTTGTGTTTCTTTCTGTCTTTCTTTCTTCATTTATTCATTCATGATCATTTATTTTAAAAAAAATATTTATTTCTTAAAAGAAATTTAAAAGCAACGAAGCGCAAATATAAAATACGTTCCCGAAACCAAACTGATGACTTATCGTATGTTTTTTCTTTCTGTTTATTCCCCAGAGCTTGGGATTATGTGAGGAAGACTTCTTTATTTATTCATGATCATTTATTTATTTGTATATATATATATATATATATTTATTTTTTAAAGAAATTTAAAAGCAATGAAGCGCAAAAACAAAACACGTTCCCCAAACCGAACTATTGACCTGGCGCTCATGTGACCTTATGCAGTTGCGAGCGCCGTAAAACATCTACTAAAACAAAACAAAACTATAGACTTATCATGGTTTGTGTTTTTTCTTTCTGTCTTCCCCAGAGCTTGGGATTATGTGAGGAGGACATCACGGAGAGAGCGTGGGGAATAGAACTACAGCAATGAGGTACCCGGAGGAGGCGAGAGAGGAGGGCAAGAAGTGCCTGGACGAGGAGGAGGAGGAGGAGGAAGAATGCAGCGGGAGGTCCTCCAGCTCGGGAGGTATCCCCGCGGCGCCCGATGGAGGGTGGGGATGGCTGATCATGATAGCGTCCTTCTGCTGTATCATGATCGTGGATGGAGTGTGTTTCTCCTTTGGCGTGCTGGTGCCGGAGTACATACGCGTGTTTAATGTGTCCCACACGCAAGTAGGATGGGTGGGATCTACGTTGGCTGGCAGTTATCTGCTCGTTGGTGAGTGTGTGTGTGTGTATGTGTGTGTGTGTGTTGGTGCCGGAGTACATACGTGTGTTTAATATGTCGAACACTCAAGTAGGATGGGTGGGATCTACATTGGCTGGCAGTTATCTGCTCGTTGGTGAGTAAGAGAGAGAGAGGGGGGGGGAGGAGAAGAAGACACAGTGAGAGAGAAAGACAGTGTGAGAGAGTGAGAGGGAGAAAGAGAGTTCATTCTACAACAATAATTATACAGTGTGTCGGCCCCACCCACACAAAATGTCCATCATTTGCACATACTACTTTATTAGACAACCCCTAGGACTGTCTTGTCTGTCTGCCGGGGATGACCATGGCAGGCGGGGTTTGACTATCTTACCTCTCAGATGATTTTAGATGTGGGGGTGAGCTAGAAAACATGTACAAAAACAAAATATAAAAAAAATTACCGTAGGAAACTCCAACAACAAACTGTTCTCACCATTATTCTATATTTTTTCTATGTTCTGTTGTCCACAGGTCCGTTTGTGAGCGCGATGTGTGCGCGGTACGGCTGTCGCAAAGTGACCATGGCGGGGAGTGTGGTGTCTATGGTGGGCTTCTGTTTGAGCACCTTGTCTACCAGCATTGAGATGCTTATGGTGACTTATGGAGTTATTGGAGGTGAGTATTGGAGGGGGGGACGGGAGAGGAAGGAGAGAGAGGAGGGAGGGAGAGAGAGGGTTTTAGTCTGAGCACCTTGTCTACCAGCATTGAGATGCTTATGGTGACTTATGGAGTCATAGGAGGTGAGGAAGGGAGTGGAGAGGAGGGAGGGAGAGGGAGGAGAGAGAGTTTCTGTCTGAGCACCTTGTCTACCAGCATTGAGATTGGTGACTTATGGAGTTATTGGAGGTGAGTATTGGGAGGGGGAGAGGGAGGGAGGGGGGAGTACGAAAATATCATTGTTGGTGGTTGGCGGGTGCTCTGGTGTGGTTTGCTTCTTCTTTCCTATCAAACATCTATCGTCCTTATCTCTCCTCCTCCTTTAAAAAAAAAATTTGTTACTGTCTTGTAACACCACTAATCTTCTGCACTTATATGACCTTATGCAGTTGCGAGTGCCTTAAAACTCTTATTAAAACCCCCCAAAAAATGCAAGTGCTGTAAAACTCTTACTAAAACTAAATAAACTCCCCTCCTTATTTTTTGTGTTTGTTACTCTCTTGTAACACCTCAAATCTTCTGGCCATATGACCTTATGCAGTTACGAGCGCCGTAAAACCTGTACTAGAGCTAAAAACGTCTAATCTTCGGCAATTATATGAACTTATTGTGTCGCAATTTTTCTCATGACCCTCACTAAACCATCTGTCTTCTTCTCTCCTATCAAACATCTATCGTCCTTATCTTCCCCTCTTCTTTTTTGTTTTTTTACTCTCTTGTAAAAAGAAACACCTCTAATATTCTGACGCTTATATGACCATATGACCGTATGCAGTTACGAGCGCCGTAAAACCTCTACTAAAACTAAACTAAAATGCTATCTGTCTCCCCCCCCTCCCTAGGTGTGGGTTTCGGAATGATCTACCTCCCCAGCATCGTGTGTGTGGGCTACTGGTTCGACAAAAAGCGCGCCTTCACAACGGGCATCGCGCTGTGCGGCTCCGGCGTGGGCCAGTTCCTGTTTGCTCCGTTGGCCCGCTACCTTCTGACGGAGTATACCTGGCAGGGGATGAACATGATCATGGCGGGGATTGTCTTCAAGTGCGCGGTGTGTGGTATGCTCTTCCTCCCCGTCGATAAACGTACGAAGATGTGGCCGCGTAAGCCCACGCAGTCCCGCGTGGAGATTGAGCGGGGTACCATCATGAAGGCGCTGATCGAGGATAAGAAACGGCAGAGGACCATCTCCAACGGGTCGCTGGACAACTGCATCATCACCCGCGACAACCGCCTGGTCAAGCTGGACCCCAAGATTTTCGAGCTAAAGAGGAATAACTCCCTCATCGCAAAGTTCAAGCGCCAGATGGGATTCAGCTCGCAGAGCCTGGCCAATTCGAAAAACAGCCTTCAGGGGATTCCCAGTATTGTGATAGACGCCGTGCAGAAAGACTTGAACAATGGCGGCAGCGCGGGATCGCCGATTTACCAGCCCAATGGCACGCGAGTTCAGCAGCTCTCGCAGACGCACCTGCAGAAACGGGGGTCGCTGCCCGACGGACGCGGCTCGCTTCCCATCGTCGCTAACGGCAACGGTGCGATTGTTTCTAACGGGAATTTCCACCACCACCCCCACGTTGTGTCTAACGGTTGCGTGAGCGCGGGAGGAGGCGGGATGCTGCACAATAACGGGTCGATCAACCCGTCCAGCGTTAACGGCGGGGGTACCGGGATGCCCAAAACTCGAAGCTGCGACCGTCTGCCCAATGAAGACCCGTGGCTGCGACAGTGCGACCAAGACGCTCTCGTCAATGCGGTGGCCGGCGGAGAGTTGCGGGGACTGAGCCTACAGGATGTGGTCGGGGCGCCCGTGTTGACTCGCTCGGCCAGCGACCTGCCATCGTCACAAGGGTTGCCTTCCCTTGACGGTAGCGTCATCAGTATCCAGGTCATACCTAACGGCGCCTGCGGAGTAGGAAACAGCGCTATGGGGCTGAGGTTAGTTTACACACAGTCTTATCTACATTACCTTATCATTATTGTTAATTGTTGAAACCTACCGTTGTAAACTTTAGCTTCATTTCCCTGAAACAGTGCTTTGGGGGTTGAGTTTAGTGCATACATAGTCTTATCTACATTACTTACTCATTTTTATTTATTCTTGAAACAAATGTGAGATGTGCTGACAAAATGTGTTACTTCTCGCAATCCACAAATGGAGAAATTGGCCGAAAATCAACACTAGGGTCAAATTTGTAGATTTTCATTTGATGCGATATTCTATTAGTATAACATGCCTTTTTATTATTTCATACTTATAAATTGTATAAACTTAACCTTTGAGTGTGATATGTCTATTTCCTTAGGGCTCGAATCCAAAAAGTAAATCAAATTGTCAGCACGATTTACATATTATTTTAAGCTTTCACTGAATTTATACTCATCTGTGATTTGTAACATCTGCATTATTTGTATATTCATCCTTATTATTAGTGGGTGGTTGGTGGGTGCTCTGGTGTGGTTTGGTCCTTCATTCCTGTCGCCCTTATCTCCCCTCCTTCTTTTTTGTGTTTGTTACTCTCTTGTAACTCCTCTAATCTTTGGCACTTGTATGACCTTATTGTGATTTTATTCTTCTTCTTCTTATTGCTATTACATCAGTATTATTTGCAATCATTATTGTGATTATTATTAATTACCCCATGTAATAATTATGTCTTTATTATCAATGTCAAATAACATTGTCCTGATCATCATTATAATTATGTATTATTATTAATAGTAATCATATGTTAGTATTATTATTGATATTATTTTTATTATTTCTAGTATGATTTTTAAAAATTCTTACAAGCATTACTATTTGTTTATCATCAATTTTAATTTGCTTGTATTTTTATTATTAGTAGTATTATCAGTGTCATCATCATCATTATTATTATTATTATTATTAATATTATAATTATTATAATAACTATTCTTATTAAAGTTATTTTTATGGATATTATTATTATCATTATTGTTTTTATGATTAATATTATTATCATTATCATTATTCTAATTGTTATAATTATTAGCATCATTCTTCTTCTTCTTCTTATTATTATCATTATCATTATTCTCATTGTTATAATCTGTCATTATTCTTATTATTAATTTTCATTATAATTATTCTCATTATCATCATCCTCACCCCTGGCAACGATCCAGCAACTCTATGGGTGAGTACTCGATTCAGCTGTTGTTATCATCAATATCATTATTCTTATTCTCATTATCATCACCACCAGGCTCCGGTCCAGTAACTTCATGGGTGAGTACTCGACTCAGCTGTTGTTATCATCAATATCATTATTCTTATTCTCATTATCATCTCCAACAGGCACAGATCCAGTAACTCCATGGGTGAGTACTCGACCCAGCTGACCGGCTCACAGGCTTCCTACGTGTCGCTGGGGAGTGTGGTGAGCGTGCCGCAGGTGCAGGCGAGCCTGGAGGAGCTGGAGCGCGAGATGGCGCGGCAACAATCCATGTGGTGGCGCTGGTGGCGTATCCTCAAGGATATGTTTGACTTGACGCTACTCTTCAACCCCGTGTTTGCGCTGTTGGTGTTTTCTAGCTTCATTACTTTGCTAGGTGAGTGGGGAGAGGAGGGAGGGAGAGGGTGGGGAGAGACAGACAGATAGACAGACAGACATATATGTTTGACTTGACGCTACTCTTCAACCCCGTGTTTGCGCTGTTGGTGTTTTCTAGCTTCATTACTTTGCTAGGTGAGTGGGGAGAGGAGGCGGGAGGGAGGTAGGGAGGGGATGGGGAGACAGAGACAGACAGACAGACAGACAGACAGACATACATACATATATGTTTGACTTGACGCTACTGTTCAACCCCGTGTTTGCGCTGTTGGTGTTTTCTAGCTTCAAATGATTTTTGTCATTATTGAATAATATGTTGTGTTGTTATTAGTACTATCATTATTATTATTAGTATCTGAAGGAGAGTGGAGGGAAGGAGGGGTAGAGAGAGATAGACAGAGAGAGAGAGAGAGGGGGGGGGGAGGGAGGAGGGAGGAGAGAGTGTGTGGTTGGCTGGTTCCCTGGTGTGGTTTGCTCCTTTTTCCCAATGAGACGTCTGTCGTCCTTACCTCTTTTTTTTTTTGTGTATGTTACTCTCTTGTAACACGTAATCTAATCTTCGCCACTTATATGACCTTATTGTGTTGAAAGTGCAGTAATACTCTTACTAAAACTAAAGAGGGAGGAGAGAGTGGGAGATGGAGGAAGGGAGGGAAAGAAAGACATGTTTGACATTACGCTACTGTTCAACTCCTTTTTTTGCGCTGTTGGTGTTTTCTAGCTTCATTACTTTGCTAGGTGAGTGGGGAGAGGAGGCGGGAGGGAGAAAGGGAGAGGATGAGAGAGAGGGAGGAGGAGGGAGGGAGGAGAGAGAGGAGGAGGGGGGGGGGGGAGAGAGATATGTTGTTTGTGAGGCTATTGTTCCACCGCGAGTTTGCTCTGTTGGGTTAAAAAACAACCCAGCTACAACTTCGACTAATATTGAACAAAATGGATTGATGACCTCACAAATTCTCGGAAGTTCAACATACAACATGAACAACTTAGCTTAGGAACAGATTTAGTTGGAAAAACAATTTCTATCAATTCAATGTCATGCTTGAAATAAAACGATTTTTTTTCTTGCACACAAAAAATTTGAATTTTGTCATTATGATGAAGATATGTGTAATGATACGGTGCAATCAGGCACTCGTCAATTTTGGGCTGATTCATTTGCCGTACTTGCTATTACATAAATATCCATCTATCTTGTACAATAAGCAAGATATTTCCAATTGAAGGAAGTCAGGTCCCCTTTTTTCAGTGGAGAAATTAGCGAGAAAAAGGCAGCCCAAATTGGTAAGTCCAATAGCTGAAAAGTCTTGGAGAACAGATAACGACTTATTTCATGGCTTAAATTAATAGTCAAAGCTTTTCAGTAAAATTCACGTGGAAATGTTTTTATATGGAAATAATAGAGGTTGAGCCAAAAAATAAAAATCGAGAAAAAATTTCGAACTGGTGGAAAAATGCCTGTTTCTACGATTTCTGTATTTTGACAGGCGCCTGATTTCAACATGCTGCCTCACATATTATTTGTATAATGCATGCATGTTTAGCTCGACTAATTGTTTTCTATGACGTCTCCCCCCTCCCCCTCTTTTTCCTCCCTCCCCTCCCCTCTCACTCTCCCAGCGTTCTTCGTGCCCTACTTCTACCTCCCGGAGAAGGGTCGCATGATGGGAATGTCTGCCGACTCCGCCACGTTCCTCATCTCCATCGTGGGAATCACCAACACTGTGGGCCGTGTGGTGTCGGGATGGTTCGCCGACCGACCTTGGGTCAACACTCTGTACATGAACAATGTGGCGCTGGTGGTGGCTGGAATCTCACTGCTGATGTGTCCGGCCTGTGAGGACCAGATCATGCTGGCTGTGGTCGCCGCCACTTACGGGCTCAGTCTTGGTCAGTTGTTACGTTGTGTGTGGGGGTATATTGTGTGGGTATATGTAGGGGTATATGTGTGGGAATCTCGCTGCTTATGTGTCCGGCCTGTGAGGACCAGATCATGCTGGCTGTGGTCGCCGCCACTTACGGGCTCAGTCTTGGTCAGTTGTTACGTTGTGTGTGGGGGTATATGTAGGGGTATATGTGTGGGCATCACACTTTTTATGTTTATGGCGAGTGAAGAACAGATCAGTATGGTGGTATAAGTTATGGTTAGTAGGAGTATGGGGCGGTGGTTATGGGTATGTGTCTGTGTGTGTGAAAATGATGAAATTATATAATGGTATAGGTTTAACGCCTAACAACACAATTAGGTTATTTCAGAGTCCGAGCAAGCTGAATAGGTAGTTAGTGTAAACTGTAGTTCTTAAATACGAAACGTTGGAACGAGTTAATGCTCGAACCTGTAATTCCCCAAGCACACAAATACAAGTCCGGTAGCAACAACAACGCTACAATCTTTGTGTGTGATGAAGCAAATAATGTGAGAATATTGGTGTATATTTCACTTCATGTATGTTTGCTTTATTTCTGTCTGTCAAACTAGCTTTTTAAGTTTTGTATAACTGTGTCAGTGAGGTTATAGGGTATTGTCTATAGAAGTTTAATATACACCGGTGACCAATTCCCTGAACCAATAAGGTTGGATCAAACCTAGGCTCCTAAAACGTGGGTGCCAGGTGGTTTGCTCCTGCTCTGTCAAATATCTATCGTCTTAAACTCACCTTATTTTTTTTTAAGTGTTTTTTTTTACTCACTTGTAAAACCTCTAATCTTGGACCTGATATGACGTTATTGTGATGCAAGTACAGTAAAATGCTTACTGAATTTTTTTAAAATAGAGACCTGCACCCTGAACTGATGAAGTTGGATAGAACCGAGGTGAAGAATTACTCATGAGATAGGCAGAGCCTGGAATAGAATGGTGTAGTTCACAATATGCATGGGGTTTTTTCCATCGTTGGTCCCAGCAGAATTTTGAATTTTATGAAGGCCATTGGCTGTTATGGCGACTTGTAAAGTAAAACAATATTGTTAAAAAAATGTTTATTGTTATTTATAAGAGTTGTTTTAAATCGCAAATATATTTGTACTGAATTTTAGTATTTTAGCATTTTGAAGTCTAATTTTTGACCAACCGTGTAGTGAAATTTACTGTTGCGAATGCTACCAACTTGTGTTTCATGCGCTCATATGACCTTGTGCAGTTGCGAGCGCCGTAAAACCCTGTACTACTAACTAACAATATGGTTCATTATTTGAACATCTGAGTCTGTCCGGTGACAGTGGATGTTCTGTGGATGTTTTGCGCCTGATCTGGTGGGCTGTGCCTCCAGATTTTCTTTTTTTAAATGATTCTTATTTCTCCGTCTTCTCTTTGAATGTTACTCGCTAGTAACACCTGTAATCTTGAGCTCTAGAAAAATGAGAGGGTGGTTGGCGGGTGCTCTGGTGTGGTTTGTTCCTTTTTTCCTATCAAACATCTATCGTCTTTATCTCCCCTTCTCCTTTTTTGTGTTTGTTACTCACTTGTAACACCTCTAATCTTTGACACTTATATGACCTTATTGTGTTGCAAGTGCCGTAAAACACTTACTAAAACTAAAACTGTCTGGTGAGGTGAACCAATCAAGTAAAATTCTTTCTTTCTCTCTTTTCTTCTTCTTCTTTCTTTCTTTCTCTCTTTTCTTCTTCTTCTTTCTTTCTTTTCTTTCTTTGTTTCTTTTTTAGTTAAAGCAGAGTAGATCGGTTGGGGAGGGGCGGGGGCCAAGTTACAGTAGAATAGAATAGATTGGGGAAGGGCAAAGTTCTTTCTGTCTTATAGTATAAGAGTATGTGTAAGCAGAATGTTTATTCTGACACTGTACATGAATTTCCCACTTGGCTCGGTCCTTTCAGAGACGGACGTTAAACTAGGAGGCCCCGCTTTATTATTAACCGAATAGTGTAGATAGGGGCCTTAAACCCATACCTTTTCACCTTTTTCAATTTTTATGCACTATCTTAAACTTTCTGTCGGGACGTATACCTTTAGGCTTAGACATGCCCACATCATATAATATGATAAAAATTGTGATGATTGGAGGTTTAAAAACGTCCACATAAAAATAAAAATTTTCCCTTGAGAAAAAAAGATTTATGTAGCAGGACACATGGCAATAAAAAATGACAGTTTAAAAAGTAGAAAAAAAAAACAGAAAAAAGTGTAGAAAAGTTTACCTTTTATTCACCCTACTGGGAAATTTGGAATACAGTTGCATAGATAGATATATATATTTATATGAAAAATTCACTTGTGTCAAAGAATACACACTGCACGTAAACCAAAGCCTTTGCAAGGCATTGCTGTGCACATGTGACTGATTATCTCAGTGGGTGGTTTGCGGGTGCTCTGGTGTGGTTTGCTCCTTCTTTCCTATCAAACATCTATCGTCTTTAATTTACCTGCCTTTTTTTTTATGGGTATGTTACTCTCTTGTAACACCTCTAATCTTCGGCACTTATATGACCTTATTGTGGAGCAAGTGCCGTAAAACTCTTAATGGAACTTTTTTTAAAAACATGTTTTTGTGAAGTAGTGATTAACTTTGTTTTGTCTTTGTCTGTGTGTCTATCAGTGAGCTATTCGTCCACCGCTGTGTTAGTGTGTGTGAGACTATATCTGAGATATTTGTCCATGTTTGTCTATAAGTGAATTATTCGTCCACAGCTGTGTATGTGTGAGTACTATCTGAGTTATTCGTCCACAACTATGTGTCTATAAGTGAGTTATTTGTCCACAGCTGTGTTTAACTCGCTGCGGTCCATCCTCCTGGTGGAGTTGTTGGGCCTAGAGACGCTCACCAAATCCTTCGGGCTGCTCATCTTGTTCCAGGGCGTGGCCGCATTCATCGGGGCGCCTATTGCTGGTGAGCAAAGTTAGAATTGTAGAAATGAAATGGAAGGAATTTAATAATGAAGTGTTGGAAAGAGATGGAGTTGAAGATATCGACACAAAAATAAAAAGGAGAAGATGGAGATATCTGGGGAATGTTCTAAGAATTCAGAAGACAAGGTTGCCCTATGAGACATGGCATTGAAAACCAAATGGTAAGAGAAGGCGGTTAAGAACAACTGGAAGCTATAGAGGTAAAATAAGAGAAGGGGCAATCACCCTGGGCCTGGATGTGCCGAAGTTGGAGGACGTATCCAGGGACAGACAAGTGTGTCGTCGAATGCTCCCCGTCCTTTGTACATGACGGTATAGGGAGAAAGTGAGTGAATGAGTAAGTCAGTATTGCTGTCCGTCTTATGTACCTGATGGTATAGGGAGTGAGTGAGTCAGCCCACACTGCTCTCCGTCTTATGTACCTGATGGTATAGGGAGTGAGTGAGTCAGTCCACACTGCTCTCCGTCTTATGTACCTGATGGTATAGGGAGAGAGTGAGTGAATGAGTAAGTCAGTATTGCTGTCCGTCTTATGTACCTGATGGTATAGGGAGTGAGTGAGTCAGCCCACACTGCTCTCCGTCTTATGTACCTGATGGTATAGGGAGTGAGTGAGTCAGTCCACACTGCTCTCCGTCTTATGGTCGCTTTTAAGCACAAGGGGGCTATTCCGAAAAAATGCTGTAAAAGACAAGGAGCGTTTTCTATAAAAGCAATGAAATATACACACCAATGAAAACAAAATTCTCCTATAGGTAGGATAATGCCCACTTTTAGTGTAGGTCAAGATTTCTGAAAACCCTGGTTAGTCCGCTTGTCCTTAAAAGCGACCATGTGTACCTGACGGTATGCGGAGAGAGTAAGTCAAAAGTGCTCTCCGCCTTATGTACCTGGCAGTGAGGAACTCAAATAAAGGTCCTGGGTTCGAATCCTGACGGTATAGTGAGTGAGTAATTCAACACTGCTCTCCGTCTTATGGACCTGATGGTATAGGGAGAGAGTAAGTAATGGGGGTCTCGTGGCCCAGAGGCTAATGTGTTTGACTCTCTAATAAAGGTGCCTGGTTCGAATCCTGACGGTATACGGAGAGAGTGAGTTAATAAGTCAAAACTGCTATCCGTCTTCTGTGCCTGACAGTTTAGGGAGAGATGAAGTAAAGGGGCCCTCGAGGCTAGGGTGATCGCATCTCGCAGAAAAAGGTCATGGGTTTGAATGGAAAAGTTTCCTTTTCTGAAAGTGTTACGTTTCACCTTCTCTCCTGCAATGTTGTCTTCTTTCGTCTCAACCCACACCCCCTCCTTTGCAGAATAGATTGGTTGGGTGGGGGGGGGGGGGGGGGGGGAGTTAGAACAGATTGGTTGGGAGCAAAAGTTTGAAAAGAACAGATTGGTTGGGGAGGGAGAAAAAGCTAAAATAGAATAGAGAAGAATGGCAAAATAAAATAAAACAGAACTGTTGGGGAAGGAGAATAAACATTTCTTTTTTTAAAGTAAAGTAAATCGTTTGGGGGTGGATAGAAACAAAAAAATAGATAATAGTTTTATTGATTCCAGGAGGACACTTTATTGTACAAGCAAACATACATAAAGAAATTCATTGGTACTAACTTAAGTGAGGTTACTGAACACACAGTGCTACAAATGAAATAACGATGGAGAATGTTTTACGGAGCGGGTTGTCCCAGCATGTGAGACATGTATTTTCTAATGTGCTGTCTTGTGCATGTGTGTGGGCGCATCTAACCTTTGTAACATCCAAGACAAATTTCACCCTGCGAGATGAATAAAGATTGTCAAGTTCAATGAGGGGGGGCAGGGAGAATAGAACGATTGATTGAGGAAGGGCGGGGTGGTTACAGGCCAGGCCAGAGCACAACAGAACGATTGATTGAGGAAGGGCGGGGTGGTTACAGGCCAGGCCAGAGCACAACAGAGTAGAATAGAACGATTGATTGAGGAAGGGCGGGGTGGTTACAGGCCAGAACAGAATGCGCTCCCTCCCAAGTCCCCAGAATGCGCTCCCTCCCAAGTCCCCAGAATGCGCTCCCTCCCAAGTCCCCAGAATGCGCTCCCTCCCAAGTCCCCAGAATGCGCTCCCTCCCAAGTCCCCAGAATGCGCTCCCTCCCAAGTCCCCAGAATGCGCTCCCTCCCAAGTCCCCAGAATGCGCTCCCTCCCAAGTCCCCAGAATGCGCTCCCTCCCAAGTCCCCAGAATGCGCTCCCTCCCCAGGCCCCAGAATGTACTCCCTCCCAAGTCCCCCGGATGAGGGTCCTCCCCAGCCAGCAAAATGTGCTCCTCTCTCCAGTCACCAGAATGTGCTACCTCCGAAGTCCCAGGAATGGCTCGCTGCCGAGGCCCCCGGATGTTCTCCCTTGAGATTCCCGGAGAATGCGCCCCCTCTCCAGAGTGAGCAGGATTGGCTGCTCTTTGAAGTCACTAGATAGCGCCTCCTTTTGAGACAAACAGACTGTACCCAATTCTAAGACTCTAACATGTTCTCACTTCAAA